CTGATCAATATTTTGAGGTCTAACCAGCACAGCCTCCTGGTCCTCCATGTTGGGGGCTGAAAGAGATGTGGCCACTTGTTCCGTAAAAATGGCAACGTATTTGAATTTACAACCACACATAGCTGCCTTGCGGTCAGGCTTTTGGGCCAGGGGCTTTGGCTGAGGACCGTGATCGTCCTCCTGCATAGGTGTAGGCGCTCGGGAACTATCCCGACCCACGTACAATCATAGAATGTACGCAGCAAAGCATCAGTGCTGAACATTGATGTCGTCTTTCCAATGATGGTGATGATGATGAGGATGAGGAGGAGGATGAATAGCTTCGGTTAAACTCAAATTGACTCAAATCCAGTAGATTCCACCTTTCAAATAAACAATTTGGCCTCAGTGAAATGTGGATGGCATTCAAAGGTCAAATTGATATTCTTTTTCAAAGAAGTGGCACGGAAACTCAAAAATACATTTTGCTCCATCTCATGTTGGCCTATTCGGTCTGTTTCTCGACCTATCGAATGTGATAAGAACCATTGGATCTTAAGTATCACGAGGATACTGGTCCGTCTGATGGTTCTTGTGGGTAAATAGCACCAAAAATTCATTCGCTCGACGATTTTGCGGCGGTTTGTGTAATCAGTACAGTTGTAATAATTATCTGTCTCATTAACTTATGGAAAATAGAAGCACCAATCTACCGTATTCCCGTAATTTCCCGCTGCAACCGCCGTTGGTAACAGATATTACGAAGCATACGCTGACGTAGACCTTGTGGATGCCCACGTTAAAATTTTCACTCCATTGCTCTTACTAGGTTTGATTGCCTACGTGGAGTCCAATGGCCGAAAAGATCCGTCAGCAGATCCATGCATTCTGGCAAGTTTTGAATGAACTTTGTGGCAAAAAGTGTATAAAAACAATTATACTGGTAATGTGGGAACTTCAGGCTTCTATTCGATGCGCAAACTAGTAACATGAGCGCCAAATACTTCATCTGATCATTATCAATATCTTGTTTCACCTTTCTGATTTATACTGAATGTGTAGCGTACCTCACAACCGTTCAGATCAGATGCGTTGATTAATGTGCTTTTTTGAGTCCACAAATCCAAAACATCACCTGACTATGGCTAATTTTACTGCGGTGATAACGCTTCACAACTAGCAACCTCTCAGCTGGTCATCAGTTTTGTTAGCTTCAGTAAGCCGTTCAAAAATTTGGCAAGGTATGCGGATACCTGGAAAAATGGTTAATCCGATAAAACAATCATCTGTTTGTCTGGGAAATGTATGCTGCAGAGCAAAGTTCTTCGCCTTGGAGAGCGGAATAGAAACCAAAGATTTTGTGTTCGCTTTTTCAAGCATCCGTTTGACACCACAACGCTTAATGACGTAGTAGTAAAGCTCCAGAACGGATTTTATTCACATCGCGCCCGATATTGAAGGTCGTTGTTAGTAAACGGGAATTTCAGAACCACTATTGAGGCTACGCATCCTGTAGACTACGGGGATTCTTTAATTTTCAGGAGTACAGTTTATCCTCCTCGGATCACCTGATCTAAGTTGGGAGATCAAATTACTCCAGATTGATTGTGAATCACTCTGAATGTATGTCCTCCGGGAAGAGCTTGAAATACCGGTGCCGGATCAGCAGGATGCCTCAGTTGAGCTTAAGTTGGCTGACAAAATACGTTGATATCACGTGATCTGGGATGACCAAAGGACTAATCCCTCAGCCCCGAACGAATTTGTGTACCTTCGGTCTAATTAAAAAATAGGTATCTTTTAGTTCTACCAAAGGTAACTGACCTCTCTGCAGGCGTGCATGTAGGTGAGTACATACTAAGCTAGGATTGGGAGGCTCCAAAATAGCTTTCACTCTAGTTTGCCGTGACAAGTAAGTGTTCAGTCCACTTAGTTTTGACCTTCCATTTGTGTTCCGTTCAATTTAGCAGAGGGTACCCTGCACTATTTACCTTTGAATCGTTTGAAATGTGACTTTTTACAGAATGGGATGTTTTGTTGGTTAAGTCCTTATTAAACACCGTCATTCAATGAACTTGCGTGACAAAAGAGACGTCCATCTGAATCACAAACTGCTCATCAAAATATATCGCATTGTAGATTAGTAACTCCAACTGCTTCTTCTGACAGCATTTGACTACCACTCACCGGCTTCAGCCAAACAGAGAACCCCTTAACGTGGTTGGTTAATTTGTTTACAGGCAGAATGTTGGATGGTGTGTACTGACTGGCTATAGGCAAACATGCAGTAGGCATCTACCACTCTTCACTGGCTATTTTCTATCATTCTTCTATGAGAGGCTAGTAGAATTTTGGTGAAAACAAAGTGATGTATTCTCGTCCTATTCTAATGCTGCATCTGACAAGGTTTGAAGGACAGCGTTTAGTGTTGCATTAGATACCAGTATTTTAGGAAGAAAGAGGGAATGTGACAAATACTTACAAGGGAGAGGATTCAAAATAATGGCCTGATTGGTGAAAGTAATAGTCTACAAAAGAATGCCCTTCAAAGATGTTTTTGTTCAGAAATGAACCACAGAGGTGGCCTAATCAGGCCTATCATCGACGTTGAACTAATTACGAAAACGATAATACAGTGTAAAACTGTAAAACTGTAAAACACTATGTCAGTGTTTGATGAATATTTCAAGCATTCTTATCCTGAAATCAGTTCCTTCATGAGAACTCCCTCCCTCACCATTCGCTTTACAGCTGTATGAACGTGCACCCGTATTTTGGAAAACGCACGTTTTCTCTGAATGTGAATATCAAAATACCGAAGGAACAATACAGGTTTACAAGCTCAAAGTAGAGACGGAGAAACTTGATGCGGACCTTTTGAATCTAGAAACACCTTACTTGCTTTGGCAACTCAATCGCATGTTGAGTGCAAATGCTGGAAAATGTGCATCGTTCCTGGGTAAGTCATTTCCTTTTTTTGTTCTGATCAAGATATCAAAACGTTTAACGTTAGAACAGCTGATAGTCGAATTTATCTGGTTTTCAATTTTCTGATGACTCATAGAATTCTGGGTTGAACAGATACTGAGTTTTTTTATCTCCATGGACGAAGGTATTACAGCTATTAGCAGAGATCATCACGAAGCTACACTGATATGCGCGAAATTTTTTAAAATAACACAGTGACGAACATCAATGTTTTCGGGATCTCGTCGTCAGGTCAGTACATATCTAATGGTTGAAATGGGATCGAAAAATGAAATACGCTGCGAAGATTGGTTAGTGAAATGCAAAACGTGAAGACACGGACGATTGGTTGTCTGGTGTCTCCATCGGTTTGTCGGTAGAGTGTGAAGTTAAATTGGAATTGTGTCTTCTTCTCTTGGCCCCTTGGTGAGTGACACTTTTTATGGGCAAACTGGATTTTGGCCGATTGAGTGGGGAGATTAGACGCACGCACTTTTATCGAAGGCAGGTAGATGATATTTTTATTGTAGTATCAAACCGTTCTGAAATGGATGCTCTCCTGACCAACTTCAACCAAGCACATCCCTCTATTCAACTCACTTTTGAAATTGAAAGTGACAACGCTTTCCACTTCTTGGACGTTAAGTTAGTCAGACTTGCCACATGTTCAATTCAGAGGTCTGTCTACAGAAAGTCCACATGGACGGGACAGTACAAAAACTTCCTGAGCTTTGTGCCACTGGGGCGGAAACGAACCCTGATTCAAAATTTAACGAGCCGAGCAAAACATTTTTGCTCTGCTGATACACTGGACTCCGAACTGCAGCACATTGCTAACGTTCTACTAGCCAATGGTTACTCGAAAGGGTTTATAACCAAGAATATGTCCGACTGCCCTATCCAACCGCCTATCACGACAGTTGGAAAGAAGCCAGTATGCTTGAGCTCACCGTACAAAGACGATCTGTTGGCGGACATAGTCAATCACCACTTGTTTCAATCCTTACAACGCACGTTTCCGGCTGAAACTCTGCGGTCTTGGTTTACAACAAACCCCTTGCTCAACTTAAACGTCAAAGACAAGATACCAACCAATCCTCCCCCAGAATATGGTTGTGTATTCTTTCTCCTGCTGTTGTTCGGCGGAGTATGTTGGGAGCATGACAGGGCAACTTTCTAAGAGAATACGCGAGCACCTCTCTTACCGGAATATCACCAATCTCAGCAGTTCAGCAGGGCACCAAGTCTAAATGAATCATTTCAGGTCATTTCCAATGTACTAAATGGACCGCCAGTATCTCTCCAACGGCGTTGCTTGACTACAACCGAGGCAGTCGCTATACGCCTGTGAAACCCGGTACTGTTGTGTCCAAAACGTTTCATATGAACGCTGAGTGTGCCTTGGTCGTGTGACACGAATCAACCAACCAAGTCACTAAATAGCCCTCTTGACTCTTTCACAGCGTCCAACTAGATGCGACATGGGGGGTGGCTCAGACAACCAATCGTTCGTGTCTTCACGTTTTGCATTTCACTAACCAATCTTCGCTGCGTATCTCATTTTTCGATCCCATTTCAACCATTAGATATGTACTGACCTGATGACGAGATCCCGAAAACATTGATGTTCGTCACTGTGTTATTTTTCAAACCATCGAAATTTTTAAGTTAACGAAGCAAAGAAAGCTGGACAGCAGCATACATGTAAGTATACACAAAACGCTAGAGATGGTTAGAGATCAATCTGTTTGCGTTGGTATAGCTTGCCCTCTCTATACAAACCAGACATCTTTGTTCCAATGTAAACTTCGCCTATCTGTAATATGTCCAATACTGTTTTGTGGTTCTGAACACCAAAAAAAACTGTTTGCACATGAAATTCGTGGTCTTTGAAGCTATGCAATATTATTTTGGAAAGCCCGGCTTCGATTGGCCTGTTTTTGAGTTGTTCCTTAGGAAGCCTGGAGAACGTGCATTTGTCAACTTTTCATGAACGAAAAATTCAGCCTAAATTGACGGCCGAGGCAGAAAGCTATCAGCAAACAACAAACTGAATGAACGAAGAATATAAACTAGGCAATTTAGAGAAGCTTACAGTAGCACTCAGAGTTCCATCGACCCTGGAGATTTCTCTGGCAAGTAGAACCAAACAAGAAGCATGTATGTTGCAAGTGGCTCAGGTCGTCATTGCTGTCATATCTCAGTACCTCACTATCCAGCTATTGGTTGATATTTTTCACGTTCTCTTCCATCCAACGATCACAAATCTCACTAGTTTACAGGGACTCAGACTACTGCGAGAGCCAACTATTATATAATTCTACTGCATGGTAATATTCTGTTCTGTGTGGACAAAACCGGCGCACATTTGTTCATTATTCCAAGAATGCGTGCTCTTCGTGTCTAAATCCCTGACCAGTGCAACAGAAGTAAATTTTACCGCTGAGTTCACCTTTTTATGTCCCACTTCCGGTGCTAGTCTGGACGTATTTGAGCAAGGTAAAATTTTCAATCGAGCTTTCGTTCTGTAACCGATGTCAGTATATTCCAACCGTTTCATTCTTGCCGGGTACCATCAGCGATGCCCTCCGAACGATCCTTCAGTGAGAATAAAACTTGCAGACTGTCCACTATTAGCTGAAGATTTAACTGATCAGTTGAGATTATGCTTACTCCCATTTGTGAAGAATGTAAATTACCTATTCTTTTTATCCCCAGTGCTTCCTGACCTGCATGGTAAGTTCTTGCCTAGAGTATCTATGCAACGGTACAATCTGGGACAGAACATATCATTCAGAAAATGGCTAAATGGTTCAAACTATTGAGCGTTTACATGAAATGAGGGCAGCAAAGGCCAAAATTTTCAGGTTGCTGTTTAAATATTACGGCAAATTACGAAGTATCCCCCTTCTGCCCCTCCTCCCCTAAGGACTGCAAATCTCTCAGTTCAAGCATAACCAAACGAGTGACCCCTTTTTTGAAAAGACAGCTCCCTCCGCCAAAGACAGAATATCCCTTTTCCTGCATTTGTAGACCTTGAGGGCGTCATCTCAGATCTATTGGAGTTCACACTATCATTAGAAATGGTGTCTCAAAGTTGACACAGAGGGGTTAATTTGTATGTTTGATGTTCTCTCCATTTTATCCACATGGTAGCTTTATTACCTGTGAGACTAGTGAAGACAGCTAAACATATGCCCGTAACTTTTTCCTACCGTCATAGTCCTACCCATTGTTGGCCCGGATCATTCTCTTGATTGTTTACCGGTGAGTTAAGCTCAATCTAGAGATCACAACTGGTTCATTTACCGAGTGGATTTGGGAATAAGATTAAAAATCGCCACTAATGAAGTCCGTTTGGTTCAGTTAGTTTCAGCTTACAATGTCTCTCCTCATTTGAGAAATACTGAGTTAATACTCCATCCTGCGTGTTTATGAAGCTGACCATTTACCAAACATGAGCACGGTTCTTTGAACTAGGCCATCCATTTAAAAAGCCACATTTTTCTGGGTGCAGTGCGAAGAGCAACTTAAATGCATGCATCCTACATTGCACTTAATAGGATTTGAAAAAGGTGTCTCAGCAGTAGTCGAACCAAGTTAAGGTCAGTTACCTAGCTGATAGCGGAAAGCTCGCATGAGATTTATAGCTGGACGCATGAGGTTAGCTTGGTTCACTCGATTTATACTACTCATCTACCGTCCATTTGTTTCATCCCATTCAGATCGGGTCAGCACTCCATAATGTCGGTATTCCTATATCGACTTGCGAAGATTTGCCCATCAGACCGGCCAGTATACAACACTGGAATTTGAAAGCACTTAACGTGTTCGCCGATCGTGCAGTCAACAGTGATGTACTTATGAGGGCACAGATTGAACTTAACAAAGATTCTGCACAATGCAATTATCATATATGAAAATGAACCAAGAAGACCTGTTGGCTGACGTTCTCGCGTTTCTTTTTTCGTCAATATTTCGTGTAAAGCGGTTTTGCAATAAACAAACTCTGTCTGGATAAACAGCATACCATGAATCTGTTCTCAACCAATCGACTGTTTTCCTTACCTGGTTGTTCTGAGTCTCGATGAGTGCAGGTGTTTCTTTTCCGGTAATTCTAGACATGGTGAGCAATGGTTGGATCAGAGTGTCCCTTGAGTACTTTGTGGAGCCGCGTCTCAAGGTGCTGGTTTCTTTGATTCAGTTAAACGACATGGATTATAAAGCTGCTTACTCTTGTAGACCGTCCAGCACTTTTGAGACCCTGTTCACCAAATGGACAGCAAAAGTGTCTCAATAGCTGTGCATAAGGATAATTCCTTCCTATACTATTTTAGAATTAATTTCCAGTCCTTGCGAAATGGAATACTGGTCGCTTAAACGTAAAATGTAGGCTACTGTTCCACTTTATCACCAAATTAGGGCCATGTACAGACGTTTAATCATCAGAACTTGAAAATATTCTCACTCCATTTTGAAAGATCTTCCTTGGACGCTCGATGCACTTGCCTCCATCTACTACGGTTTCCAACGGCAGAGTGTGAGTCAGTTCGTGGACCAAATGAGACTGCAAATCAAAGACGCACAATGGCCAAGAAAATGGATCCGAACTGGGGAGTGAAAGTTTTCAAATTAAAGTTGAACAAGGGTGGAGGGGATGGGCGTTGTAGCATAACCCTCCTCCTCTGGACGGCTGAAATACGCTGCGGCTAAAATAACTAACCCGATGTTAGTAAATATTCGAGAACGTGGCACCGCTTGCAAACCAACAAAAGATAAATTTTGCAGTCGTCTCCACTAAGATCTACGAGGAACAGACTAATCTGTGGACATTTACCAAAAAAATCGTCAGTTTAAACTTTACGTTCGAAAATGATACATACACTTGTCCGCACCACTTTCTGTTTCATATCCGCTTTTTCAGAGAATACGCATAAACTGGACTTCAGCAACAACACGGAAAGATTTTCACAGCTTACGACCCCTTAAGTCAAACTTACTTTGCATTCATTCGTTGAAATTTTGATGGAGTGCCATGGTTTCTGTACTGTTGTCTGCAGTGATGGTGGAGAACTCACGCTTCAGTCAAAAAGAACATTTTCCTTTTAGCCTTCGGCAATGGGCATTCTCATTAGAGAATCAGTTAGAAACTGGAGCACCGGTTTATTTACAGTACGAATAATATTCTGGTCACTAACAACTACCCGTTTGCCCAAAATAGTTAGGTTATCTGGGGACATTCCGTTCACCAATAGTACACAATAAGGGAACTTCTACAGGGCGGCGTAGCCTTTCTTAATACCTTCAGCAAACCTCAGTTTAGCTCTAAAATGTCGGTGTACTGTTGGAATGTGCCAGAATTGTTTTCTACTTCAGCCAAAAGCCAGCTAAGCCGTTTCCTTTACTGAATCACCTTCTCTGCAGCAATGGTGGTTTGGTTATTCATGGGTGATTTCATGAAATATCTTGATGAGCTATTTGGTGTGGTTTGCGATGAGTGAGCCGCAGATTTCACGATGCATCACGTTCTGCATGTGTCCTGACTGAACTAGGATTATTCCTTAACGAGATAAGTAATTCTTCGTGAACATAGATAATGTGGTAAAATGTAGCCCAGTAAGCTACGAACACGATAATTTCATGTTTTAAGGCAACGCCGTTATCATCATCATCACTGGCAAGAGGTGAGAAAACTGGTGCTTCACCCACGTGCAATCATGTCGACTTGAATAAAACTTTATAAAAGAAGGAAAAAAACTGAGCTGGATAGAGAACCTAGGCTAGCATACAGCAAACGTCACAGTTTCCTACAGCTCCGACGCTCAGTCGAACAATTTGTATGGAATACGTCAATGTCACTGACATTGCTAAGCCACTGTAAACCCTAGTATATCAAACAAAACAGATTGAGTGTCTCGTGGAACCCATTCTGGGAGGCGAACAGCATCAACATAGCCCAAATTTGTCGCACTATCTTCCATCCCGTTCTGAAGAGTCCAATTTGTCCGAATTCGGTTTTCCGTCACTCCAAATAAGGCACGAAGAACAGCACCTGTGGAAGCATGTGGCAGTTCAAAAGAACTGTCACTGGTGCTGGGATGCCACACTGACCTGCTACTTATTGTATTTAAGTAGCTGAATAAATGACTTGAATTATTCAAAGATCACTCGTGTGCTGAACGTGATGGTCTATGTGGTGGAGATTTTTCATATTTCCAGATCAACACCATCATTTTCAAACGATGTAAATTACAGGGAAAAAGTTTACAATGGTGTTCTTCCGTGGTATGATATTGGCGAGCCGAAAAATCTACCCCTCTTCACCTACGGACACATTTCGCATTTGGGTTGCCCTCGAGTGCACAAAGTGGAAACAGCTCTTTGATCACGCGTCCTCTGATAAGTAATCCATGCCTTAATCTTCGCCACTGGAATTGTTCTTTCTTGTGATTATAGTTTGCAAGGACAGTTTTGCTTAGGACTACTAGTTCGTACGTAACACCACATCGCTAGTTTACTACTCGCATCACCGCTGCATGTACACAGACAACTGGTGGCTAAATTTTCGCACAAAAATGGACGTTTTTAGATAGTTCTGCGGCGAAACTTAGGTGTTTTTGAAATAAACTACGAGAAAGGACTTAAATGACCCGTAATCATTTCTGTAACTTCGGTACCCAACTGTCTGGTGCATCCTACATTGATTGTAGTCATGACGTATGCGCTAGGACGTCTCAAAATCAAAGCAACTTGGACTGACGCTACTTAGACCCAAGTGTCTCTCAATGGCTCAAAGAATACTCCTGGTTATTTCCCATAATCCTATATTCGAAATTCTCTTACCCAAACGTTTAAGCTCAGGCGGCCACGTTGTGGGTCTGCTGTCGCAATGGTCAGGTTTATAGGTAGTCTTTTGCTTAAAGGAAGACGTTTCTTTGTCTTTTCATGGTTTAACTTGGTAGATTATTAAGCTGGAGTGTGAGTGAGTGTGAGTCAGCATGCCGTATTGCTTGATCCCTTGTGCGATTGTTTGAACCACGAATCAAATTGAGTGAAAAACTTGGTAGATTATTAAGCTGGAGTGTGAATGAGTGTGAGTCAGCATGCCGTATTGCTCGATCCCTTGTGCGATCGTTTGAACCACGAATAAAATTGAGTGAAGTGATCGGCTATCTGTGGCATACGTTAACTTGATGATTACACGTATTCGGGTGAAGCAGTTCATAGAAACGTTAACCTCGTAGGACTGGAGGTTGGAAAGGATATGTTCAAAAATGCAGATGTTTAACCGAGATTAAATACAGCAGCTGATTCAGTACACATTAAATCACTGATAAGAGGATCGGGAACCACGTTGTTCATGCTCTTAAATACAGATTGGTAGTTTTTGGTTGATATTGTGTCCCCTTGACCCCAAGTAGAAAAGTTCATCCAGATAGTATAATGCGAGCTGTAACCTGGGATGAAATGACGGATCAAAAAAAGACATACTCTACGGTGTTTTAATTCCACACGTTAAAGGACGATAAAGGATGAGCTGTCAGGTGAAGCCCTTGGTAAAGCAGTCAAGAGTTTTCAGCAACCTTACGAGCACGGTATCATGTCCGCACAATGTGTCGCGATATCTCAAATATCGTGCCAACTTAAACGTGAGGCAGTCTTTATGCAACACATTCAGTTGCGTAAGAAAATCATACACGAGGTATTCAGCTGGGTGTTAGGTGGGTCTTTCGTCAAAAGCGAATTGATATATAGAGGAGTGTATAAGCCAGACAATTATGTTTTCGAACATCAATATGGACTCCCTTGCCGATAATTTATGTGTATTACGTTGGCTACTAATGCATAAAAATGCTTCTCATAGTGATTCTGAGGCACTTTTTGCATTCGTCGAATGTTTGCTCTCACTATGCCGTCCTGCCCCACTCATAAACCCCGTACATTCTGATCTTCCTGAAATGGGTTGTCGAAACTCTCATTGGAAGTGAAAAAAAATTTGCTGTTTGCTGATGTGTCTGTTTTGTGAATCAATTTTTGGTTCAAACTCTTCTATCATAATGGTGTTTTTGATATCCTTATTAAGTCCTAGGAGAAATCGTTACTCATTCAACTTTTCTAAAGCCTCAAAAAGTGAATGATTTCTAGATCGCTTTGCAGAAGCATTTTCTTCAATAACGAAAATCACTTCTCGACATGCAGCCAGTGGCTCTGGTTTTCAAAGTTGTATCAATTTCATTTTGCACAAGACTAAAAAGTAGGGCGGACGGTCTTTTAAAGCCTAGTTTGTTTGTACAACCTGCTTAGCTCAACAACAGCTTACGCGAGAAATTCAGTAGAAATATCTTGTTAACTTCATCATAGTTTGTAACTGCGTGTTTGCCTTTGCAGAATGACCGCCTTTTCTGTTCTACAGGTATACCCTACGTCGTTTAGATTGCCAGCTTAGTCACAAAAGAGAGAGCTGCAGGGTAGACATTGCTTGTGTTCAAATTCCGGAGATCGGATACGATTAGGAACGTCTAAATTTAGATAGGCACGTGAAACTGACAGACTGTGGTGTCACGTGGGGCTGGGTGAGACCACACATATCGGTACACTTCAGTGGAATGGAAGGGTCCCTCAAAGGATTAGTCGGACACATAAGATTTTCTCCGAATTCTGTATCGAAATTCCTTTACTGTAATCAGTTTGACAGAGACAGCTTCCATTCTGTAGCAAACGTCAGTCCATGCCAGAAGGTGGGGTGCATTGTACAAACGTATCATTCTTACTGGGAATCATCACCAATACTATCCGAACGATCTTCCAGTCAGATTAGAACTCTCAAACTCTCATGTGGTAGCTGAAAACCCAGTCAATCAGTCAAGATTGTGCTGACCAGCACTTGTCAAGCATGTAACTTGCCGATTGTTTCTGTCTACAGTGTTTCCTGATTATCACGGTGAGTCCTTCTCTAGAGTATCCAAATTCTTTTACTAGAACCAATTAAACATAGCGCAACAAGACTTTCCTGAAGATCGTGACCCCCATTCTATGATCCGCACAACCGAAACCATTTGAAATCTTTCCCCAGTCTAGGACTTCATTACAGAGGAGATTCAGTCTTTTCCCCAGTGTGTACGCAAATATCTGCGACATTCAAGTTCCCGAATTTTACAATTTTTTCCAGTCTTGGATATCACTGCCCGGAACGCGCTAATTACGAAAATTCACATCCAATGATCACATCCAATGGTCACGTTCTGTTTGTATTCTGCTGTTCTCTTTTCAGACTCATAACGGTGCGCCACAAGTTAGGCTGTCGGTAGCATGGCTGGTCGACAATCCACCCGAAAAATTTTTGCCTGTCTTAATGCGATCTTTCTAGTTACTCCAAACCAAAGAATAGGAGAGCTAAACCTGGGTTTTTCTCTTGTGGGATCATTTTAACATATATCTTCGTCATTGTCACACTGAGTCATAGTTGTATGAGTGAGTACCTTATTGCATTTCAGAAGAACAGCTGCATGACATCCGCTTATAACAGCTGATTATGGCCTGGTTTCAGTTACTCGATTTCGGAGGAATAGATTTTCATGAACAAGGCAATCTCTTCACTCCAAAGTTGTTCACTTCGGCTAGAACAGCCGATTCCATCGACAAATCAGCTCGTTGCCACTGAATGCATCCTTTCATCCATTGGAACTGGGTCAGAAGGGACGAGAAAGTGAAGTCAACTATGGAAAACTGGTTTACTTGGTACTTGTTACTGGAATGAATCTGGTCTCAAGCGATACAATCGTTTGAAACTGAAGAGGATATTGGCACCTCAGGTTTTTTTGTTTGCTGAGCTGGGAAACTTGATCACAAACGTCTATTTACCAGTGGATATCATCAGGGCGTCTTGAGTGAAAGTGAGTTAAGATGTGTCGCAAGTGAGTGGTTGTTGTATACGCATGAACTGACTTACGGTCGTGATATACAGACTGACCTTATGCGTCGGTCGTTGGTTGCCTGGTAGAACATACCAATTATCCATCAGTACGACTATTTTATGCATCCAAATCTTAAAAGACACGAATTTTAAACGATTTTCCTTCCGCCGTATTCACCCAATGTAAACCTCATGGTGATAACGTCGATGGATCGTCAGCTTTCTCACGAAAAATACTGAACCCCATATATTTCTAAATCGTTGTAATATTGACTCAAAATACAGAAAAGATACAATGATTTCATACGATTTACATGTTCACAATGTCGACTTAGACACCGCGGCACCAGAATTTGTCCAAATGAGTAAAACTCAACAGAAAACGCCGCCGCACACACACATATCTTGCATGGAAAAAGTTTAATGTAGAACACGGAGTTGTTAGAAATTTCAATAAATTCAAAAATATATTTATGCATTTTCATTGGACGAGCAAAAGTTTCTCTCCACCGACTTCTGGTCAGCTCCAGTGTAATGCATGAAAGCTGTTGAATGCCACCGTGATCATTAGCAGTTTGTTCAGGATTGTGTGTGTATGAGCCGACCCTTTCGGATGAAGCATCACTACAACTAAAGGAATGAAAATAGGAGAGATCATTCACCTACTAAATCGCGTTCGTAGACATTACTTACCTGTGTTGGATTACATGAATTTCAAGAATGAAATTTACTTTAGAAATGCTACGGTGTTAACAAATGGAGGCCAAGTTTTTGATGCAAACTAGCGAGAAAGATTGTTCAATGTTTCTACAAGCCAACGAGTTAACCTCGCGGTCAATTCCTACAGCATTATTCAATCAAACAATTAGCTGCTCCTTTTATCAAGTGGTTTAGTTTCGTCTTTACAATCACCATGCATGTGTCTCCGGACTACGAGTTCCACATTAATCCCCCTTATAAGTACCTGTTTGACATTCATGGAAGTGTTGAAGAACATCTCCACTCTTCCAATGAAAAAAAGATGGACGAGACTGGCAGACCCTTTATTTTTCCTGAAACTAGAAAAGCAAAAAGCTTAAAAGTTCTAGCGGATATATCCAGTTGTAATAGTCTGCACAGCTTTCAACCCTATAAATCCCACGCCTCTGAGCGTCCTCGGTGTTGTTCGGTCTGGAATTATGTAATGTATTTTAACATTTCCTAATGTAGCTCCAACATTTTTGTTCTCAAAAGTAATAGAACACAATAGAACACACAATAGGACAAAATAAAACAACAGAATTTGAACTAAAAATTCTGGGTTCTTTCTGGCCAACTGTAGACATGTCTTCGAAGAAATGATCTATATTAGAAAAAGTATATAAATTTCCGTGAATTCACAGGGTGATGACTTTTGCTGACGTAAATAATGATAGGACTTCATGCGATGTTTAGTACGTCATGTATGACGTTTTCATCTGCCCAAATACTTGTAGAATGCTCATCCATGATAAGCGTACACCACTAAGTGAAGAATGTCGGCTGTGGGTCGGAAATAAAAAGACCCTCGTTTCATCCATCGCCAGACTATTCTCAGATGAATGACACAACAATAACCGTTTTAGACTGTAGGGGTAAAGATCATTGTTGACATGAAGGTGAACTTTCAACTTTCAAATGACGAATACCGCTTTCGAATTATCAGCACCTGTCAAAACTGTACTTTTGTGTAAAAGCATCATTTGAAAGAACTATGTGGAATTTTGATTACATATCCTCCACCGCCTTGCCAATGTGTCGCAACAATCCAAATGAGGTTGTCAATACTGATTTGTTCAAATTTGGTTGCTTGTGTTTGAGCTCAAACACTTGTGAACGGACAATTACGTTTCCCTAAAACTCATTTTTGCCTTCTACATTTTTGAACCAATTGAAGCTTGTTCAAATCAGTTCATGGGTTGAGATAATATACCCAGTGGTGTGAAAATGACTAGACCAAGGTTAGGAAACAAGCCTCCCCGGAAGGCTACCAGTGTACTACAACTGGAGGGATTCGAAGCTGCAAGATTTGATAGAAAGATTTGTTTCACGATCGGGGAAAAATGGGCGACTGATGATCGATCCGATTACCTTATTGTCAGATCGATCGAGACACCTGTCTTTAACTGACATCGGTTCATGGTGGACTAAGATACTGCCAGAGTGCCCAAACCTAGATAGAGTCCTCAAACAAAACCATTGTTGGCGAAAGAATACACAAGTGTCCAAAATTCTAAGGGACTAATTGCCACATTTGTTCCAGCCATCAATCTGGATGTCCGAAAGACTGTGTTTGTCAGAAATCTATCCATTGACTAGCTTGATAGGAAGACTCTATGAAGACTGCATTGGTTTCCTGCTGTGCAACTCAGTCGCACTTTGATAAGTTCCAATCTGTCGGCGATCATTTTATACCTGGCAACAACGACTTCCTACACTGAGGCAACCAAAAATGTGAGAAAATGTGTTAAAAAAAACTGGTTTTCATCCTATTTGGAAAACAGGTCAAGTCTACTGGAAACAAGTGAGAAGCAAAAAGAGAAAGCTAGCAGATTGTCTATTTTACCAATAAGAGAAAGATCTCCCGGCCATAAATGATATTTGGCTTTGGATCGCACGTAAAAAGGATCCCAGGTTCATCCATCATCAAACTATTTCCAGATGAAATGCATAAAATTTAACGGTTGCATACAATAGGACGGCATACATGCCATTGTTGACGTCAGGTTGAACTCGAATACCACAAACAATCTGGTGAAAGCTTTCACTTTTCAAGCGTTGAATATCAATTCCGGATTCTATAAAGCTCGTACATCATTCAAGCGTAAATGAGTGACCAGTGTGCTATTACCGACAGATTTCCTTGACAATATTAGAGTGACTGTAGGAAATATGTAGTTGAATCCGCAGTCACGCAGTCTTTGGGAAACAAACCTCTGAAAAACGAAACTCAATGTTTAGTATGAGTGGGCATAACCGGGCTGATGTGTAACTGCAGTTGTCTACCTGACTTGCACCCACCACATGCGACCTAAACGACGCTCATCCACTGTTCCATCCATTAAATGATTTTGACAGTGTACTCAGCATATGAAAAACCTTGCTGCGTGATTAACAAGCTATCGATAGCTTTGAAAAATTCCTATGATCCCCTATATCCGCCACTGCACTCGTGAATTTCCGAAACACCGAACTCAATTTCCTCAACAGAATGAACCAATGGGCATTAAAGAATTAATTGCAAGTGAGGCAAGGAATGGACAATCGAAAACTATCGTAAAATTTCCCACCGATAGATTCATTTTGCCTGCAACAAAACACTAAAACGAGAAACGTCTTACCAAAGGGAAGTTTTCCTTGGATCATAGGTTTGGAAGAGAAAGAAACTTCCAAGAACTACCTTACTATTCGCTATGGAACTTTAAAAGGGGATACAAAGACGTGATCACAAGCTCATGGTCAACCATACTTGAAAATTTCGTCGTGGCAAGGCCAAACTGGCGTACAAGTACAGTCTTTTAAATCACCTTCTCATAACACGATTTGTCGTCACATCAATCCCAGCAACACTGCTACGTAATTTTTTGAAGATTCCGCAAGCGTACTGATGTTAGCATCTTGCGCTGCATCAACTTTTTCGGTGCATTACAGCTGACGTACGCAGAATCCTACTGTGAACAAGAATGTGGCAACCAACGATTCCCAATTTTGTGGCGACTTCGTGAGCCTTCCTGACCACCGGTAACAACACCAAACCTTGTGCTGTTTCTTGAGTGAAAGATAACGTCCATTTGTTCTAATAAGCCTGGCTTTCTCAGGTAAAAAATGGCATATGTCAGCCAACGACAGCATCTATCTATCTATCTATCTATCTATCTATCTATCTATCTATCTATCTATCTATCTATCTATCTATCTATCTATCTATCTATCTATCTATCTATCTATCTATCTATCTATCTATCTATCTATCTATCTATCTATCTATCTATCTATCTATCTATCTATCTATCTATCTATCTATCTATCTATCTATCTATCTATCTATCTATCTATCTATCTATCTATCTATCTATCTATCTATCTATCTATCTATCTATCTATCTATCTATCTATCTATCTATCTATCTATCTATCTATCTATCTATCTATCTATCTATCTATCTATCTATCTATCTATCTATCTATCTATCTATCTATCTATCTATCTATCTATCTATCTATCTATCTATCTATCTATCTATCTATCTATCTATCTATCTATCTATCTATCTATCTATCTATCTATCTATCTATCTATCTATCTATCTATCTATCTATCTATCTATCTATCTATCTATCTATCTATCTATCTATCTATCTATCTATCTATCTATCTATCTATCTATCTATCTATCTATCTATCTATCTATCTATCTATCTATCTATCTATCTAT